GTTTATTATAGGGGTTGGAACCCTAACTCGAGCTAGGCCCGTCATAACAAGCGCCCTTTTAATGACTTATATGGGCCTTCGTCCACCCTCAACATGATAATTAAAGCTCAAAAGAATTTCGTGCTTATTTCCTTACCTAGGACGACCTGCCCTTCTCAGCTCGATTTGGCTCATTCATTCATCATGTGTATTGAGCCAATCATTGAAGACCCCCCTTCTCAGGAGAGTTTGAATTTATCCTCCCATGAGTGCTTACATCCATCTATAGATGCCCCAACGCAAACATTACCCCTATCTCTAGATCCTTTCAATTTCTTTCAGCCTCCCCAACTAGATAAATCGACCAAGAGAAGAGCTCAAGCTGATCCATATGAAGCCGAAGTCGTGGGTAACGGGCTAGGGCCCAAGATATTACAGTGCATAAGGTAAACTCTTTACCTAACGAGCTTGATTTAAGAAATCATAATTGAATTTAGGGACAATGGTTCGAATGATGTTCCAAGTGGGAATGAAATTGATGTTACTCAGATTTCGAAGTCAAGTGAATCATCTATGGAAAGGCAATCCCACCTCTAGGGCCTCGTCAGCCTTAGCTGCGACCTCGAGTGTTAGCAATAGATGGTTACGCCCCCTCCTCTATTTCATAAGATCAACATTGATGAGGCATGGTCTTCTGGTTATTTGGCGACATGAGTTGGGGTTGTGATATGTGAATATAATGCTTTCTTTATTACTACTACTACTAATAATCGCATTATGTCTTCTCCTATTGAATGTGAGGCTTTTGCAACAGTGATGAGGCTTTCTCTTGCTCTCTCTTTGAATCTACCAAATGTCATTATTGAGACGAATTGCCTTGAACTTTTCTCTTATGCGAATGAAAGTGGTTCTTTAGAAGATTGGAGGATTTATCCTTTCTTGGACGATCTAAGACGATTCCAGAATTTGTTCCACAACTGTTCTTGGAATTGGATTCTTCGCGAAGCTAACGGTGCCATTGATGATGCCGCTAAGCTTGCCAAAAAGAGGTTGTGCATTTGCAACTAGGTTAATACACCCCCACCCTCCTTGGTTTTGATTCTCTCTAGGGTTTCCTGCTCCTCTATGAGTCTATGCCTATCTTGGCAGGTAGAATATTTTATTTGTAATTTTGGCTTGAAATTTTTTGCTTAGCGTGCTTTTTGTTGGCTTTTGTTCAGGTTGCCTTATTCTCAAATTTGAAGCGCCAACTTGTGTGAGCCTAACCCCCTTTAGCATTTGTCCCAACCCCCTTCAGCATTGGTCCCACTCCCTCCGATTCTTTTTGATCTCTCAGCCCCTACTTTTAAAATGTGTCGTAGATAACTTAATTTAATGTCGGGTATTTTAGAAATATCATTAAAATTGTGTCATCAAAAACATTTTTCTATTAGTATTGGAAGCATAACAACAGGTGAGACTCTGCCTCGTGAACACAATTTCACGTATATATATACAGTCCCCTTCTATTGAGAGACACCCTTTAGGGTATCCTACAAATTTTTTTCCAATGATCCAAACCATCTATTTTTTAAGTCTACATTCATAGATCATCCTTGCCAAAAAAAATAGACAAATCGAAAGCCGTTTCGATATCCAATTGTATTCTACAAAATCAATGAACATGGTGGTTCAAGAAAATATTAAAATTTTAATAACACAATTGAGTGGTCAAACAATATCAGATTCAAGTGATTTTTTTTGTAGAGATGATCTTTGAATGATTATCTAAACCATAGACGGTTTTGATTAGTGAAATACAATGTGGAGTGAGCCTTACAAAGGTGTCCCTCAAATAAGCTAATTTGAGGGATCCCTCAATACTTCCATACTGGTTTGGATAAAAAATTTGATTTCATGAGCAATTTAAATTTTTGTAGAAATGTCACCTGGACTTATATCTCAATTTCAATTTGTCTCCTTAAAGAAACATTTAAGAGAAATGTCAACTTAATTTTTTTAAATTCATGATTTTATATAAAACTGAAGTATATGTTCAGATGACATTTGTAAAAAAAAAATCCTATAAATTAATGAAGCATATAGATTATTCCTAGAAGATCCATCATCTTTGGTTTGGTTTGGTTGGAATCAACCTTAACTTTCTTTTTCTTTTAATTTGAAGTGCGCCTTTAATTAATCATATTGTTTCTCACCTCCTAAAGTGCTAGTTCCTTTTTCTTGCTCCCCATTTTTTGGGTGCTTTTGAATCCACTACTTTTTTTGTTAGTGTTTTTTTACTCAATTTTAAGTCAACTAGTGCCGAGTTGGGATTTATGCTAATTTCAGACCATGCCATAAAATGAGCATTGAAATTTGAGTGCATAAAGCCTAGAGGCAATTTGAGTTGACTATTGAAGACAATGATGTTAAAATCTGTATTTGGACAGTTGCTTAGATCTTGAATGATTGCCCCCCACAACATTTAAACTTGATATGTTTGACACAAAACATGATGCATGGAATCTGCAATGTGGGCGCAACTTAAAGTATCTCTCCGCCAAGATATTTTGCTGTTTTCCAAGTGTAATGTATGGTGTTTTCAGGGCTGTCATTAGAGTGTAAACCTGAGACCGTTGAACTATAAACAAATGCTTTTATCATTGAGCTATGGATGGTTGATTTAATCTAATAATAATCTGATCTTACTCTTCTTTTTTTAATTATATTTTTTTGGTAAATATTATACATAGATTTGTTGTGCGGAAACACTCAAGATCTTATTATCAATGGATTATACGACGTGCACACACAAACCAAAGATGTGATTTTTCCTACACTGACTAAAACAGACTTAACCAAACCTAACCACCTATAAATAACTCGTAACATATACTCGGTAACTAGACTGACTAATATGGCTGACTAGATTGCTATGAATAAGGTGCGGGTTAATGACCTAAATGGTCCCCCAACTGTCGCGCGATTATCATTTTGGTCCACCAACTAAAATTTTCAATTCAAACGTCCTTAAACTTTTTATAATGTACCAAAATCGTCATTCCATCAAAGTCTGTGTATTATTCCGTTAAATCGAAGGACAAAACCGTATTAAACCGTATTTTTAGGTGAGTATATTTAACGGAATAATACACAGACTTTGACGGAAGGACGATTTTGGTACATTATAAAAAGTTTAAGGACGTTTGAATTGAAAATTTTAGTTGGTAGACCAAAATGATAATTTCAAGATAGTTGGAGGACCATTTAGGTCATTAACCCATAAGGTGCTGACATTGCTTGCTGGAATAAGGCTACGGGAGCTATCATCCCCTCGCTTAATAAGGTACTGAAATGGGTTCATTCAATCGATGGACACTAATAAATACAAATGATATTTTTAAATATAAAACGTGCTGGCTTGGACTGGTTGGTCCACATTGGGCTGAAACAAGATGAGCCGTTGGCCATGGGCTCAGCATGGATTTTAAACCCTTGACTCAAGCACTACCTAATAAACTATCGAGTCGAAACGACTTTGACACGTTGGGTTCGAGTTGGCCCTCTTCAACACTCGTGGCACACGCCAAATTATGATCCGTACGTACACTCGTGACAAAAACCTAATGATATAATCCACCTCCCCACATACAGTTTGTGGTGAACACTATTGCTTGGTCCAAATTAGACAGCTATTGTTGGTCGATCCGAAAGGATCAATGATGCCATGAACCTTCGAAGACAATCTTCCCACGGAGAGGAAGAGGTCCACGTAGAAATCAATCGCAGCACAGGACATGTCATTAATACTCTTACTGACATCACCATCCATCCATATCCATGCATGTTGTCCACTTGAAACGACAACACATTCTCCAAATTTGGTGGCATGGCATGCAACTGTGGTGATATCTATATGCTGCTCACAATCTTCATACATTTCATTATCATCAATCGATATAATGGTACCCCCCCCAAGTCTTATCCTTTTAGCTTTGGTGATTAGCCAAAAGATGTGGGAAAAAAATGCCCAACTCTTTTTCCATGATCACCGTAATGCCACAACTTTTATTATTTATTTATTTTTTTATACAAGCGATGCTGAGGGAGGGAGGGAGGGAGGAATCGAACTTAAGACCTATGATCTAGTGCAAGGGTAAATACTCTTAACCACTTAAGCTACAAGCTCATTGCTAATACCCCATTTTAAGATGTAATTGTTCTCTAGCTACTAAAACTAATCAAACTTTTGAAGATTGTGTTGAATGCAAAAAATTGATCAAAGAGGCTATTGTAAAATCACAAAGAACACAAATAATTTAACGTGATTCACCCAAACTAGGCTACGTCCATAAAGGTTATTATTTACGTGGAGAGGCTTTAATATGGAAAGCTCAGTGAGTAAATAATATCTAAGATTTACAAGGCAACAAGAACACAATCTTGGATATAATAATTTAGATATTACATTGCCATAAAATTTGGAAGAAAAGTACACCGATGTCAGCATGGCCATTATTTAGATGAAAAGGATCATATTCTTAGATAAGGCATCAGAAAGAGAAACTTATTATTTGTCTAGGCCACACTTTACTATTTGTTCACATTTTCAAAGCCTTATAAACAATGCCTCCTTTGTCCAAAACCAAAAAAGAAAAAAAACCAAAACCACTTGGCCCTTAAGAGGAGAATGACAAAACCACATGAGAAGCTACAACCATTTCCACGGAAAACTGAAAAAACAAAACCATCAGCTGTCAAATGAAAGCAAGGTGGGCCATTGTCTTCCTCCGGATAGATTTGCTATCCTAGGATGTAGAAATGGTCGCATTTCCCTTCAAAATGGTACGGAAAACTGGGACAGAACCAAAGTGAAGCATTAGTTCAATTTCACATAGGCATTCGTTCAGTGTCATATTTCAAACTTCCATGACTACAACGTATATGTACAGGAATCAAAAAGTACATGAGAAGCTGTAAATAGTACATAGAAAAATAGAAAAAGCAATACCATCTGCGAAAGAAAATAAACTGTGTCGTTGTGTCCTTCACTTTGTATAATGAGGTACAAAGTGCTCTCCTAGGTGGTGGAAATGGTCATTTTCGCCTTCAAGAATGCGGACAACCTGCAGTGAAAAACCGTTCATTTATATATAAATGCAGGATAGAGGCAGAAAACTTTGATGAAACAAGGGTCTCCATTTAGGCATTGGTATTTCTAACTACATTCACCACAAAGAATTTCAAGTGATGGCCCTCACATGTGAATCACATTGCTGTTATACTAGGTTAGAGTATATAAATCAGCCCCTAATGTGCATGACAGCCTAAACAAAGGCATGCGTGGACATTCAAAATTGAGAAGCTTGCGAAATCAGTTAATCTTCCTCCAACTTCTTAGTTGGTACAATGCAATAAAAATCCAAAAGATAAAGTCTAATTACCTCTCCCATTGATGGACGCATTTCAGGGCTTCTTTGCACACATAAGTATGCGGCTTTAGCCATAAGGTACACTTCATATGTGTCATATGAATCTCCAATACGACGATCAATGAGTTCATGTAGTGCTAGCCTCTGGATTATTGGTTCTGCCTACGATTTCCATATAACAGACAAAAGATTATTCAGATTGGAACAGAGAATTAGCACTTCTATCTTTTTTTGCCAGCGAGTAGAAAATATAAGATCAAAAAAATCACATCTTGAAGCCCAACATACCCACTGCCGTAGGGATTCATCTTTTTCTTTCCGTTTTGAATCAATAATCTTGCGTCCGGATATTAGTTGTAACAGAACCATGCCAAATGAATATACATCTGTCCGTACAGAAACAACACCATTCTCTGCATACTCTGGAGCAAGGTAGCTAAAAGGAAAAGAGGCTTACTTACGCTTGTTTATTTAAAATACCAAGAGCAATTTTCTGGAATGTGATACTCAAATGTAGAAAAAAGTTTACAGTAGTCCTCACCCTAATGCGCCAAGTATCCTTGTCTGCACAGGATCATCACTCATCTTCCATTTGGCTAGGCCAAAATCACCTAACTAAGTGTAGAAAGTCATTCCGTTAGCTTCAATAGTTTTTATTTTCTTCAGTTTCTTTTGTAGGAACTACTCAGAGCTTGCAACCAAAACCTTTTAATGTTCAAAGAAAAAAGAAAGCTTCAACTCCAAACCAACCAAAGGGAGAAGCCCAAAAGGCATAAAAGGAAAGAAAAACAGGGTTATCCTTCGTTGTAAAATAAAATGAAATTACTAGATGCTGACAAATCAATTGTTGCATTGAAATGATATGCTGAAGATCGGGAAATGGGCACTAAGAACTGAGAGTTAGAAAGGGCACAATTCACAGTTACAACATGGTCATGATGTGTAAAACAAAATAAGCTCTAAATGAAATTTAACTATGAAGGAGCGCAATGTTAAGAACCTTGTATTCTAATCTGGGTCTACGGAACTAATTCCTAATAGAGGAAGGAAAACAAAATAAGGCCTAGCCATGCAAGGAAAACAAAAATAGGGGGCCACCCCTGTTTTCTATGCATCAATCCTCCCTCAAGTAGACTTGTCAAGAATTGGAAGAGAAGAGATGTTTCATGCTGCCCATTAGCGTAGGACTATTCGCAGATAAAAAATTTACAAAATGATTCCTACGAGTCCTACTCTCAGGTGGCTCTAGATTTTGTCACAAATCTACTAAAGGATTTTTGAATTATCCGCATAACTAGAGCCACCAACCAAATCTCAAGTATAATAATTAATCATTTATTGAAACAGAAAATAGTATTATGCATTTCCTTGAAGGGTCTCACAAAAAGACAAACATAAAGAGTATTGTGTATTAATTCACCATGGGAACATAATCGTGTGTAAGAAGTATATTGCTTGGTCGCATGTCTCGATGAATTATAGGACCTCCACGACATTCTTCATGCAGGAAACGCAATCCTTTTGCAGTTCCAATGGCGATAGCATGCCTTTGGTGCCATTCGAGGACTGCTGTGTTATCATCTAAGAAATAAACCGCAGAGAATTAATAAAAGAGGATCCACTGATCATGTTTATATGGTATCAGCATTAGAACTAACAATGATGAAAAAAAAAGTGTACTGGGAAAAAAAATTAACAGTAGTTTACCAAATAAGTGCCACTCAAGAGAGTTGTTGCAAATATATTCATAAACCAAGATATTTAGATTCTCCTTGCAACAATAGCCCAACAGCATGACTATGTTCTTGTGGCGTGCAAAGCTTAAGACATAGACCTCAGAGTGAAATTCTGTAAAGCCTTGTTGACTTGCTTCTTTCCGCACCTTTGCTGCAATCTGCTGTCCATCCTTGAGCTCACCTTTATACACATGACCGTATCCACCTTCTCCTAATAAGTTTTCCTTTGAAAAATCATTTGTTGCTAGCTGTATCTCTGAGTAGCAGAATGTCATAGAATCTTTGATATACATTTCAGTCCTTGTTCCGCAGATGGAACAAAGAATTGGGGCCTCCGAAGATCGGTGTTGGAAGACATTTTTATTTTGTTTCTGGTTGATTTGGGGAACAATGGAGTGTTTATCGTCTCCTTTGGTTTTTGCGCCTGGACGACAGAAAATATTAGTCCATATAATAACACACACACACACACACAAACACACACACACACACATTATTTGAAGTCAAGGTACCAAATTTTTTTGGATTGATCTATAACCCTGGTCATTGCTAAAATCATATCTTCCCTTGAAAACATCTTAATGCAACGAGTTATTTTAAGCTCTGATAAACATGTAAGGGATTCAGCACTTGTTTGTTATAATAGAATCATGGCCATATCTTCTTGCATCCTTCCGGTGGATTATGCAAAAATTCCACTACAGCACCTTCTTGTGATTTGAAACTGAATGGTAGATGGTTAGAGAGTCCATCTAGAAACCATATGCATCCATGTCATAGAAGTGGTGAAATACTAATTTTATTTTTCTTCATGTGGAACATGCAATCATTCTTGCCGTTTTGATGGAAACCTCATAAAACGTGTAAATTTAAAATAAGGGAGAAGTTAAAGGAAAACTTATTTGATAAGCTACCTACGAACTTTGTTATCCAGTTTGGAGATATTTATAACTTAATATCCAAAGAAGCCAAAAAACGATATGAATTGATAATTTGATATTTTGGAGGTTTGTGTCTTATGGTGAAACTCACTAAGTAAAGTTCTAGGAAAGCTGGCTCAGATTATATGCATAATCCATTGAGATTGCAGCTGAGACAAAAAAACTAATAGCAGAAAGGACAATATATGTCTTGAGTTTGTAAAGCATTATAATATGCATAAAGGACTATGACAAGCTTCTGACCTGAATTTTCTTGCTTAGAGGAAGACGCCAGATCCAACAAAGGACTATAGTCTCGTAACTTAAATGTAGATGAAGTTATCAAGTTGGTATTAAGCATATCAGAGCTTTCCAGTGCACCAACGGATACAGAGTAGCTTCTGCAAGCGATGGATGAGTGCTCATTGTTTCCATTACCTGGACAAGTGAATGGCGGAACAGGCTTGGATAATGAATAAAACAATTTGTGTTCTATGGTATCAGTATCATCTGCTGTATGAGGTCTCACAACATCCACAGCCAAGCTATCTTGAATTATTGCAACCTTGCAAGGTATCTGCTTAAGGTAGAACCTCATATCCCGTCTAAGGTGCCTGTTAAATTTTGCAAGTTATTTTTTAAGCTAATTCGAAACAGAAAGAGAATTTAACAGAGGCATGCTCATAAACACACACAGGGTATATAGAAACAAAAGGAAAGTTGGATGGTACAAAGACAAATGAGAGGCTTTCTTTGACAAATTGGAATTGTTATTTGTTTTCAGTCCTCCAGATATATGTGTGTATATATATTATGGCAACATAAGCCGGGAAGGTATATGTAGAAAATAACAAAGTACAAACGTGATATACTTTAATGACTAAAGAATCCATAATTATCATTCGTCATCAAGACTATTGATGGAAATATGCAACGATGTAAGGAGTTTGAGGTTACACACCAAAGAAGTTTAAGGATATTTAAAAGATAAAAATGTGGGAGAAAACTTCTCCAATATGAGCAGTTTTGATCCAATTGAAGGTTTAACTTTTGAGTTGACAACGAGGATGACAATTATTTACTCGATTCAACAAAAATATCGCCTCAGTGGATTCTTAGTTTAATAAGCAATTAATCTTTGACAGAAAATCTGAAAGTACCCATTCATATTGCACAATGACCATCAACACTAAATTGGAGTACTTTCTAAACCATGTACCAGAAAGCCAGAGCATGGCAATATTATATACAGGGCCATATTTTAGTGATCTTTATTGCATGGAAAAATGACAGGACTATAACGACACGGAACCCGTTTCCATTTGTAGTACAGGATAAGAGATCTAAACTTGAAAGATCCATCATAAATTAGTCTAGTCTTCGAATTTAATTTTTTTGATAACCATTCCCTTAATAATCTAAATGGCAGAGAATCAAATTTATGGGTGAAAGGAATTGAATTCTGAAGGAATGGTTTTCATAAGCAAATAGAGAAAAAGGAACTACCTATCAAGCACAACCCAAGCTGCATTACAGGCCATAATCTCTTGCAAAATAACCTGTTTAATGGGAAAACCAGCAGTAACTTTGACTTCAACGCTGACCTGAATATATCAAGGAAACTAGTGTGGTGAACAATATAGCAATATATTTAGGAGAAAAAAATAATTTCTTAATTTATATAACAGTGGCAAAGTGGAAACTCTGCATACACAAAAACAAAAGCAGTATTCGAGCAGCATCATTCAGTTTCTCTTTATCTCTCTTTTTTTGGTACTACTAGCGACAGAAGTCAGAAAGTGACCACAAAAAAAAAAATGGACACCTTACAGTCACTATGTTCATTATAATGTTGCAAAGTAATAGAATATGTCTACTAAGGTTGCCCCGCCTTTCAGATTCTGATACAACATTTAGCTCAAATTCTTAGGTTAGGTATGTCGTCGTATTTACGTATTGCAAGATTTTCTAGCATGAAAATAACTTTTTGCAATTTTGGAAAGAAACTATGCCAAAGATCTAGACACATCTGGTTGAGAGAGAGTTAACCACTCCACCAATCTAGGAACATAATGAAAGCACAAGTTCATAAAACAGTTAAAATAGAAATCCTTATCCTCAGAGAATATATTACCCCTTGATCTTCACACTTTTCGGCACTTTGAAGAAGCATGTTAACATACACGTCAACTTTCTTTGTAACTTCTTCCTCCACTGCACGAATGCTTGTTCCAAAAAATTCTGGGGATGGTTTTGAATGATATCCCACTGTTCCAACAAAGGCAAGAAAAGCAAAGAGACTAAATATCAGCAACAAGCACACTTACTTTTAGAATTTCTTGCTCATATTAATGTTATTGCAGCTGCAGATAAAATGAGAGAGCGTCCACCAAACCAATTGCAGAATATTCATGGACACAGATGCATATTGGATGAATGAACCACAATTAGATAGAAGATATTTGAAGGTGCATGTAGGATCAATGGTGGCAAAGTTGTCTCTGGTCTATTTGATTTGCTTGCTCCCTATGATAAAGATTTTCCAGTACGTGGCTATGCCTCTGATAATTATTAATCAGCTTTGTCAAAAGAAATTTCAAGGACATTGGTGATGAAAAATTTTAATGGAGAAAAGAAAATTAAAGATGAAATTTATAATATAAAGTCTATGTTATTTGCATCTTAATAACCAACCAACCAATCATGTGAAAATGAAATTCATAACAAATTTAGACATTTAAAACCAATTAAGAACAACTCTAGTTCATGTAGACAATTCATCAAACACTTACTGGGGTGAACCACCCTGTGCAAGACGCCCAGCAAAATGATGGTATCTCCTGAACGTAAAATGTCACCCCTCATTCGAAGACTATCGACAGTGAGCTTAAGCTCCGGCTCACCCCTGTCCCTGGTCGCATCATAGGCAATAACAACATGGGACGGCGTCATTGGGCTCGCCATGGGCACTGTTTACAATATACCACAACAAGGTCTGGAATTTGAAGCTTCTTTTTAATGTTTTGGAGGTGAAAATGCTATTTAAAAGATGATTTTTCAAAAGGGTTAAAATTTTAAACTTGAAGAAAGAGATTAAACCCATTTTTAGATTATGATTTCTTGGCCAATGGCAAGGGTTGTTCAGAGTCCTGAAAAAATTTCTTTCAATTTTTTTTCTTTCAAAGCTTCTCTGTGCTATTGCATTGGAGAGTAGATGCCTGATGCCCAGGAATAAATTCGATGGATATTCTCTGATTATACCAAAAAATGGCGCGAAATTGCTGTCTTCAATAGGGCCAATCAGATGAAAGCAAGGGAACTTGGGCATTATGTTGGCTTATGCTTTCTAACAGCTAGCGCTGTGTCTGCTAAATCAATGATTCCATCAAGCATTGGAGACTATCTTTAAATTTTGATTTCTGATCCAGTCATGTCCTGTTGTCAAAAACATTGGATTTTTATTGTGTGTTTTTTGTTGTTGGTATAATGTTAATGTATAAACTTAAAACTACATAGTTTTTATTTTTTTTCACCCATCACAAATGTATATCGTCTGCGTGATTCATGTGAATTAAACTTGAAACCAAAGGCTAGTAATTTTGTTTTAATTAACTACTCTTTGTTTATTGTTATGATCCATTATGGATAACTTGTTTTGCTTATTTAATTAAATAAAAAAAAGTTAAAACAATTCTTAGGATCATGCTGATTTTTTCTAGAATGTTAGATAAACAGTGCACAAACTTAACTAATCCGTACATATAGTGCTTGTCCTGAGGTACGAATCCATATTCCTCAGGATAAAATGTGAATGATGCGAAAGGATCCATATAGATTCCATGGGAATCTAGGATCATGCTTATTTTTGTTTTCTGTATGGTTCCAATTTCATCGATATGCCCGAGTGGACATTGGAGCATCAAAATGGTTTGATACTTTGATGGTCCTTTCTACTCCACAGATGATTGGTGAAAATTCTAGTGTAAACCCCACCTCCATCATATCTCTTTTGCAGAATCTTCAAAGTTTTGCTGCTTTAGTTATAGACATGTTAATATTTTGCTCCTATTGCTGCTGCCCCTAACGCCTTCATCAAAGGCAAACACTTAGGTCAATGACCAGCAAAAAAGAGAGGTTATAAACCTAAGAATTTCTCTATTCCAAATGGGCAGCTTTGGGCTCTGGGACCCATATGTATCAATGTCTCATAGTCATTAAAGCACGAGCGTGCGTTGGGGAACTGAGTTTAACATTCCTATACCGCAGTAATTTATCAGAAAATCGCAGCATCATGGAAGATGCATGGTGTGCCCAAACCTTTTCCATTTGTTATAATTTATATCCACAGTTATTGCATCTATCTGTAACTGTAAAACTTCTTATTTTCAAATGGAAAACATGATACAAGCAATGCTAACAGAACTACAGCATGGTACAAGAAATTCCTTACTCACTAGTCAGGCCACTTTCACTGCAAAAACAATTACATCTGAGAACCGGACATTTCATTAGCATATTGGTTTAGTAACATATCAGCACAACTCTAGCAGTACAAATTTGGCATTCCAAAACAATTTATATAACTATGGTTAAATGAGATTGGAAAAAATATATTCTTTAACTATATAAAATAATAGGAACAAAATGAACTCTTACTCTGCTGCTTTTCTTCATTCTTCTCCTCTTAGCACTACTTTGTTAAATTGTCAGTATAATCTTCAGCTTCCATTTCCCAACACAGTAATCTCAATATCAAATAAATATCCTTACCTCTGTGAGGCTGTAATTGGTCTGCCTTAAAAGTATATACATGGTTCTGTATCCCAATTTTACTACATCCGATCACATTCCTCACACCTTTAAGTTTCATGGCTTTCCTGACTCGAATCATACTTTCCCATCTTCCTCGCATTTCATATGCTCGAGCGAGCACTAAATAAGGTAGAGATGACTGTGCTTCCGACTGCATCATCCTCTGTGCAACTGTTTCAGTGAGTTTAAAGTCTCCATGAATCACACAAGCACGAAGAATCGATTCCCATATCATGGAACTAGGTTCGTAAGGCATTTCTGCTACTATATCTATTGCTTCTTTGAGTTTACCAGTACTACTCAACAAATCCACTATGGACATATAGTGCTCGTCCTGAGGTACGATTCCATATTCCTCCCCCATGGATAAAAACATTGTCATTCCCTCATCAACTAAACCCCCAAGGTTGCAAGCGAATAAAACTCCTGCTAGTGTTAATTTATCTGGTGCAATGCCTTCACTAATCAATTCCTCGAAAATGTTCAGGGCCTCAAATACTTTACCATTGTGAGCCATGCCCATAATCATCGTGTTCCAAGATGTCAAATCTTTCACACCCACATTTGCAAAGATTTTCATGGCATAATCTATTAATCCAACTTTACTGTAAAAATCAATAAGTGAACTAGCAACAATTGGATCTGACTCAAAACCTAACTTAACAACCAAAGAATGCATCTGGCTACCCAACTCTGCTGGAAGAAAAATGGGCGCAGAATTAAGCAAACTGCTCAGTGTAAACTCGGTTGGCCTCAGGTTCTCCCTCAAGGTCAACACAAAAAGTTGCACAGCATCCTCCACACAGTCATGCCGTGCATAGCTTGAAATCATGGAATTGCAAACAGCTGAATCCCACCAATCTAGTTCTTCAAAGAGCCGGATTGCATCCTCCAATCTGTTGCACTTGGAGAACAGATCAATAGCAGCACTTGATACAATGCTATTAGATAAGAATCCCACCTTCAAGCAGAAAGCAAATATTTGCTTACCCTTTTCCAAATTAGGCAAGTTACAACAAACATTGATAACAGATGATATTGTAAACTCATCAGGTGAATGCTTGGTGCTTCTCATCTGAAAGAACTGATCTAGTGCCAGCTCTGCATACCCTGATCTATGACAACCCGATATCAAAGAATTCCATGAGATAATATCCACCTCCTCCATAGCGAAAAACACACCAAAAGCATAATCCACACATCCGAGCTTTCCATACATGTCAATCAAAGAATTCCCGAGTATCAAATTTGATAAATTCATACCATTCCTAATCATACCACCATGAATTTGCTTACCATGACAAGAACACGTCACAAGCGACGTTACAATTGAGAATGTGTACTCACTTGGTCTCATACCCGCGATTTGCATTTTTGAGAAAAGGCAGAATGCATTATCAAAAAACCCACCTGAAACACAACCTGAAATCATCGAGTTCCAACTAACTACATCTCTAACAGGCATTTCAGCGAACATATTGTGTGCCCTTTGAAGCTCACCAAATCGACAGAACCCTTTCAAGCAAATGTTCCAAGACACAATATTCTTATCGGTAATCTCATCAAACACTTTCAATGCATCGTACAGGGTGTTACCAAACCGAAAGTAAACATCGAGGCAACGGTTACCCAGAAAAGTATGGCTGTTAAACCCCACTTTTATCAACTGGGCATGTATAACTTTGGCAAAATTTAAAGACTTTAGTGACAAACAGTGATCTATTAGATGAGAATAATAGGAGAGTGAGGTTTTATGAAGCCCATGAAATTGCTTAGAAAATGAGTGCATGCAAACTCAGTGCTTATATGAAATGCAGAAATTGTTGCTTCTGAGCAATGCAGTGTTTAAGCAGTGATACGGTACCGTTGTGCACGTGATTCTGCTGCCGGGTCTGCTTCTTCTTGTTCCATCGACGTAGCTACCAATCGGGAACGAACCAATTGTGAACGCCTTGAATGTGAAAAGCATTAACACTTTCAACGGTAAGTTTCCCTCCAGCGCAAGAAAAACAGAGTCTTGTCTCCGGTTAGTTTTGTCAAGTTTGGGTCGCCGTACTTTTTTGAGATATTATTCAAAACCCCATCTGGTCAAATTTGGGTCCAAAAGTAGACGGTTCACTACATCTATTTTTGGTAAAGGGGACAGGCTCGCTATCCTAACTAATTAGGCTAATTCACATCTCTTACATCTTTGCTTAGTCTTTAGCACTTGGGAAATAATTTATGTTCTCTAACTCTAAGCGTGTCATTTAAATATCGAATGGTACACTGATATTGATTAAGCAAGAAGTATACATCATTGGCAGGAGCTCCACATCAGGTTGCTTTACATATGTTTGAGGTCATCTTGTCATTTGACATATCAAGAAGTTGCTAGGTAAAGTGTTGAAGCAGAATAATGTAGCTTCTAGTATTGCTCATTAATCTAGTTCAACAAGACTAAGACAATGACAAACAATGTGTTTTACAACTCGTTATGCATTGGATATTTATGCACCAACTTGAGGGCAGTGTTAACATAAATTGTAAATATTGAACCAGTTATTTGTTACTTAATACTTAGTTTGTGTAGTCTATTTGGGCCTAATTAGGTTCGATTACTTTACTTAAGGTCCACTCCTTTTGTAACCTAGTTGTAACTTGTAACCATATATATATATTTTCTCATCCCTGTCACGGATGTTCGCATCAAAACACCTACTTTCATAAGCAAGGTTGGAGCCCAAGGGAGCTTTCAAACAAATCCTCATACAAAAATGTTTGGGAGTAATGAATTTGAGGTGCCTTGTACAAATACGCCTACAAAATCCCTATCTTGCAGCAGCCTTCCGAAAAACTGATATCTCAGTTTCCCCATTTTTTCAATTCGAAGGTGTCTCTCGATATCACTCTTCACCCGGGACCTCTATAATCTTTCGTGCTCCCTCATGCTCGCTTGCAATGCAAGAAAAGCAGCGGGCAATGCGTAAGTGAATTTTTCTTCCTTTTTTGCTCCCCTCTTTCTCTACAATTCTCTCTCTTGGCTCTTGCACTTGTGCCCCCATTAGCTTTTTTCTCTGGTTTCGGCCCTTTATCCTTTGGGGTTCCAGTTTTCCTTGAGTTGGTTTCAAGCATATTTGGGGGCTTTCCAATGAAGCAATATATGCAGAGCGCCTTTGACAGTTGAATACCGGAACACGCTTGGACATGGAATAAAACCGTTTGTGCTCTACAGTAACAGGGTCTTCTATTTGATGAGCTCTCACAACCTCCACAGCCAGGCTATCTTCAATCACTGCTATCTTGCAATGTATGCGCATAAGGTAAAATTCCAAATATCGTTTGAGGTGCCTGTTAAGCGTTGCAAGTTGTTATTTTGAAACCAAATGCAAAATAGACGAGAATTTACACAGGCAGGCATGCATGCATGCATGCACATTGCACACAAACAAATACATACTTGAGAAACAGATAAACAAATGGAAAATTAGATGCTAATTGTTTGGGATTTCTTGATTGTTTCACCAATGCATAATCAAATATGATAAACAAGCAGCCAACAAATGAATTACCTATCAAGTACAACCCAAGCTGCATTACAAGCCATAAGCTCTTGCAAAATAACCTGCTTAACTGGACAACCAGCAATAACTTTGACTTTAATGCTCACCTGAATATAGGAAGGAAACTAGCTTAGTGAATAAAACAGAACAGCAAATAGTGGGGAGATTGATAATATTATAACAGTCATGATGTGGAAACTGTGCATGAATACAATAGCAGAAAGCAGAATTTGAGCATAAATTTGCTTGTTTTCTTTTTTTTTTTCCCTTCGTAATGATAATTTACATTACTAATCTCGGAAAGAAAATAAAACCAAGAATCGGACACCTTCACAGCTACTAGGTTGATTCCAATCTTATAAGTAATAGAATATGTATGACAAGAAATAGACCCCAACCTCTCAGATGCTGCTACAACATTTATCTCAAATTGTTAGATATATTGTTCTACTAATGTATTGCGAGACCTTCTATTGTGATGATAGATCCAAAAAAAACCAAGACAAAAAATAGCATCTTTCTGCAATTGATGAGAAACTATGTCAAGAATGAAGACACATATCTTGTTGAACAATACTGAAAGCACACCAATCAATTAAAAGAGTAATGCACACTCAGAATATATATGTTACCCTTTGATCTTCACACTGTTGGGCACTTCGAAGAAGCATGTTAACATACCCGTCAACTTTCTTTCTAACTGCTTCCTTCACTACACGAATGCTGGTTTCAATAGAATCCAGGCATGGTTTTGCTTGATATCCCACTGTACATTACAACAAAGGAAAGAAAAGCATGGAGAGTAATGATCAGTAAGAAACAGACTCTTGTGTTTATGAGATTTGCCTGCAGTTAACTATAGTTATACACCAAATAATTGTATGCTACATCTTCGACAAAATGAAAGTATGTATATTCCTACATGTTTATTTAGAATAGTTGTGGCATACGTACAAAATGAGAAATCCCTTAGCCTATAAGTTGCGGATGATTTATGGACACAGATTTATTTTGCGCAAATAAACCATAATTTGATAGATGAGATTTGAAGATGCATATGTAGGAGCAAAGGTGACAATGTTGGCTAGCCTATATTGACCTCCTGCTGCCTATGATAATTCGTTAACAAGATTGAGAAATTTGCAGAACAAGAAAAGTGAGCAGTTATCAGAAGGTGGAAATTAGTACAATTAGAGTTCCAACTCAAAACCAATTAATAATTAATCGAGAGCCTCATACATAAGATAACAGAAGATTTTACCAAACCATATAAAGACTTCTGATAGGAGAAAACAAAACAAACCAAAAGGCACAATGCATCAAATACTTACATGGATGAAGGACCTTGTCCAAGACTCCAAGAAAAACGATGGTATCGCCCCTACTTAAAATGTCGCCCCACTTTCGGACACCATTGACAGTGAGCCAAAGCTCATGCAGACCGCGGTCCTTGGTAGCATCATAAGCAATGACAACAAGGGATGGTGTCCTAGGACGAGCCATGGACAACAGAGTCTTGGATCAATTTCGAACGATTTTTTTTTTTAATGTTTTGGTCATAAAAATGCTATATAAAGGAAACTTGATCAAATGGGCTTGTAGTAGAAGTTTGAAGGAGCGCAGAGTTAAACCCATTGTAGATTATGATTGGTCGTCCAATGCTATGCTTTAGTGAGAATTCTGAAAAAAAACTTTTTTTCAAAGCTATATTTTCAAGCGCATCAGAAAGAGAAGATTCTCAGTACCAAAAAATATATGCTAAGAGCTCTCTTATTTGTACCGATAAAAATCAAGGGAAATTTGCCTTCTTCAATCGGGCCAATCAGATTATTACAAGGACTTGGGGACTGTATTGGCTTATGCTTTTTAACTGCAAGTGTTCGTTCTGCAAATTCAATGATTCTGAAACAATGGGGACAATGCTTGTATATTATAATTTCTGTCTCAGTCATGTCCTGCTGTCTTGCCAAGAGCATGCAATAAATCTTGCACATAAAATTAAAAACATGACACATAAAACAAAAGCCATATTTTGGTGGCCTTGTGATTCACGCAAAGGTCCCCAAGTCTTGAGTTCGAGTGACAACGTAAAAAGAACATAGAAAAGAAAACCAAAACCTATAATATATATCATGATCATTGGTTTGGCTGGAAAACAAAAACTGGAGTGGAAATACTACTGTCACCTATGTGAGAATGTGAAGGTGAAAATGTCTCACACTGGAAAGTTGAGAAACCTAGCAAAGGCTTCTAAGGAGTTGGGCTACTCCCCCACTGCCAATTAGTTTTGGGGTGGAACCTCAACGTCCTTCAACTTGTACCCGATATAATTTAACACACCGAATAGATAATGAGTTATTATCAGTACACTTGTAGACATATGCAAAAATCTTTACCTTTTCGCTGCTATACTTGTAAATTCAAGATAACTGTTGTTTTTTGGGAATTACGATCAAAATTAACAAAGGTAGAGATGAGTCATATTACTCAAGAGTTACTGCAAGAAACCATTTCCTCTTTTTTTCTTATACATTTTAAATTAATCTTATTCTTTTCGTTAATGGATCTTCATCACTGTCCATGCTAGTAGTCTTCTCTATATAGCTAGTCCCCTCGACAAGACGGCCAGTCATAGCTCAAAAACAGTATTATAAATGAGCCCGAAATGAAAAACATATAGACAAGAAAGTTGATTTTGGGAGTGCTAAACTGATGAATTAGAATAGTTGAAGGAAAGTGTCCAAGATCAAATCCTTCTCATGCGAAAACTTGTTTACATAAAGGCATAATTAACCCATAGAAGTCGACCCTATGAATGATTATACTCAACCTTTGAAGTTCAAATTTGAAGCACAGACCATCAAAGAAAAGCTAATTCTTGTGCTCTTAGTGCATATAGTTCTCCCCTTCCTAAATTTATGCAGTTTATGAAGTCACGCGAAGTGTAAAAAAAGCGATTCTGATCGGAAAGTGAAAAGCTTAGGATTCAAAGGGGGAGTCCAACTTTATCCGCTCTCTCTCTATTATTATATAGGAGATGTATGGATACTTGTAGCTTACATATCAAAGGCCTTATAATTCAGAAACATGAGTTTAAATGTAGTGAAACGGTTTATAATTTATGCCAAGATGTCAATCTGTACAATTGCAGTTTCTGTGTTAATCAATGTCAATAAACAGCGTACTGTGTCAGCATACATGGAAAACATAAACAGAAAATTTACTTTTTGCATAATAAAAGGCAGCACAAGTGATCATCAAACTGCTATATGGAAGAACTTATTTGGTGACAGGGGCAATATGCACATTGAATCGATGTTAAATGAACAAAAACGAATCATAAACGTAGCTGTGCTCGATATATTTTTTTGCTAAGTGTTGACTGTTTAAATTGTTTTGGGGGAAAATTTTTATTTTTACTTTGGTATTTTTCATAAGGTGCGGAGAACGGAATTCAAAAAGTACATGTCACTAAGAAGGGAAAATACATTCATTTACTACTAACGAAGTGACTAAAAGTAAGGATGATGGAGGTCATCATGACAAAGGTGATTCACTGCTCAAATCTGTCTCTGTTTCCTTCGTCTTAAACTTATGCTATGCCTTTTCTTCCTTGTATTATCTGTGATTGGTCTGACGTAAATGACAATGTAGTATTTTTCGCCTTTTTACTCATCTTTTCCAATATAAGAAGAAGCAAAGAAACTACCTGTAAAAATTGTTCAAATATCAATCAACTCAACAGAAAACTAATAAGCATGTGAACAGAAATAAGCACATGAAATCCAGAAAATCAGAACTACAGGGGAGAGGGAGATGGGATAAGTCCATTAGTGTTTCGAGATAATAAGGGGGCTTCAATGGGCTGCAGAAAGAGAAGTGATGAACTTTGTGGAATGTGTGCTTCTCTAGTGTCAGACTCTCAGAAGATGTCTTCTTCAGTGATGAACTCTCCACTTTCGATCTCCACATATGGGACATGTTTTGTATTATCCCAGTCGTCGCCTTTCTCCTTCTCCAGTCGTTTCTGTAATTGAGGGCACCTTCTGATGACCAACTTTTTGAGACTGACAGGTATATATGGTAATGAATGCAACGCGGGACAACGCTCAATGACCAACTCCTCAAGCAAACAAAGGTGTTGGATAATGTCTGGGACATAAGCCAATTTTTCACACCCCACAATATCAAACTTTTTGAGTGAAGCAAGGTACCTCAGCTCCATAGGCAAGGATTCCAATTTTTTACAGTATAGAATACTCAAATGTTCAAGAGAAGTAAATCCTCCCATGCCCTCAAACAGAGACTCCAGATTATCACAATCATACATGGTCAGTTGCGTGATATGGCTCAAGTTCTCCAGATTCCTGGGGAAAGACTTCAGTTGTGGCATTTCATTAATAGCAAGAGTGGAAAGTGACATGAGATGGACCAACGAGTCAAGTAGCATTTCATTACTCTGCCATAAGGCTAAGTTTTTAAGATGCGGAATTGATGGTAAGCCAGTCAACTTGTTGCATCCTTTGACTGTTAGTGTGTCAAGACAAGGGAAAGACACAGGTTTTCCAGCTATTTCAAAACCCTTCCATTCCAACAAATTCGGCATATCATAAAGCTCAAGTTGTGTCAATGCTGGGAATGCTACATCATTTGTATTAGCATTCCCATAAAATTCATAACCAATAATATGCACTGCAGACATTCCTTTTATAAAGAGATCCCTAAGGAGAGGTAGCAGCCCGAGTGGCGGAAGTTGTAGACAACTGCAGTTGATCAGAGAAACCTTTACTAGATTGATGAGGGGACAACTTTCCATCCATGTTGGAAAAATTGAACCATTGTAGCCGGATAAATCCAAAACTTCTAAAACCAGGGATGGCATCAGGCGTTCTAATACTTCAGCAGATAATTCAGCATCTACCAGATGAGCATTGCGACCCCATGATAAGCCCAAAGAGCGAAGCCTTAGCTTTTGAAACAGCTTTGCTTCTTGAGCCTGCGCCAAATTACTCACATTCTCAAGATTCTTAATGTCTAGCCTACCTCTAAGGTTGAGCCCACCCAGCTCAGTTAGTTCAGCACAATCAGCCTTCTTACCCAATATGAATGCTGACACATTTTGAAGAAATCTTAATTTTCCAATCCCTGATGGCATGTGAGTCAAAGAACATGACCTAATAACCAGATGTCTGAGGTTCGTTAACTTGCGGATAGCTTTGGGTAACTCCAGGAGATTGTAACAATCAGAGAGTTCTAAAGTCTGCAAATTTTTCAGGTTAGCTATGGACTCTGGTATTGATCTGATATATGTATGAGAGAGATCGAGGTATCTCAAATGTTTCAAAGTACCAATTGTAACTGGCAACTCACGGATGCCTCTTGCAGATAAATTTAGCACTCGTAGTCTTCGGAAATTTAGGAAAGTGATAGGGAGTATCTTGAACTTACCAGAGAAGGAAAACAATGAGCGCAGTTTCTTAGCTACATGGATCATTTTTGGAGAAATCCCCGATTCATGAACTAAAGAGATACGACGAATGTGTTCTGAGACATGCAGTGAATTTTCATCTTCCAGGATTGAGCATTCAATCCCAGCAACATGCAAAGCAAGGTCATGCACTAAATTATGCATCCTGCACTCCACTATGTTACCATTTTCATCTACCATTGTGTCCTGAAAGAAAAACCTGTAAAGTTTTGAGAACTCGATAATTGTATTGAATCTCAGAGAGGGTATTTAAAGGCTTTACAACAGTGTAAGAATGGAAAGAATAAATCTATGCCTACACTATAGCTTGTGACAGCAATCATAATATATGCAATTGATACAGGAAATATAAATTGATATGGAAAGTAATCAAGTCAACCGTTGACATTACAATTCTTTAACATTCCCCCGCAAACTCGGCGGTCTTTGATAGACGAGTTTGGAACGAAGGAGATGAAAGCGTTGCTTGAGAAGGCCTTTGGTGAAGAGATCTGCAGTTTGATCAATAGATGGGACAAACTGAACACGATGGCTGCCGGAAAGAACAAGCTCACGAACAAAGTGATAATCCAATTCAATATGTTTGGTGCGAGCATGAAACACCGGATTTGAGGCCATATAGGTAGCACTAAGATTATCACAGTAGAGTGTAATTGGCCTGGAAACTGGTACATGTAGTTCATGAAGCAGATTTGAAATCCAAACTGTCTCTGCACTGACCCCAGCTAGAGAACGGTATTCAGACTCAGCACTAGATCGAGAAACAGTAGGCTGTTTCTTGGCACTCCAAGAAATGAGATTTGGACCGAGGAAAATACAATAACCTGAAGTAGAACGCCTAGTGTCAGGACACCCAGCCCAATCAGCATCAGAGTAGGCATGGAGTGCAAGAGGACTAGAAGAGGATCGAAACTCAAGGCCAAGTTGTAAGGTGCCTTTGAGATAGCGCAAAATGCGCTTAGAATAGGATAGAGACCATCTTTACATTGGCCCTGAAACAGAGGAGCACTAGTGGAGTTATCATAAATACAAAATTGAGTAGCATCAAAGGTAAGAAGTACATTATTATCTTGAGTGAAACGAGCAACTGAGAGAAGATTTTTATGCATATTAGGAATATGAAAAACATTGGAGAGGTGAAAGGTAGAAGTCCCTAGTGGAAGGGATATGTTACCAGTATGAGAAATTTTCATGTGATCGCCATTGCCAAGAATAACAGAGTCTGGTCCAGCATATGGGGCTGAATTCTGTAGGGGACGAGGATCGCCTGTCATGTGATGAGTCGCACCAGTGTCTGGATACCAATTAGGATCATGAGCAACTGCAGGTTGATAGGGCATGTAGGATGATGGTTGTGATGGTTGCGGAGAATGTTGTACGAAGGGCAGTGGCGGCTGGTATTGTTGAAAACCAGCAAAGGCATGCGCAGTCGAGGTATGTTGCGGAGATTGGGGTGACATATGAAGCCCAGCAAAAGCAGAGAGTCGAGGGCATTGGCTAGCAAGATGTCCAGCACCGTTGCACAATTGACAAAAAGAATGAGAGCCTGCAAAAGAACCAGAATGGAAAGGACTGGAATGGCGTCCATTGTTGTGACGTCCGCGATTGCGATTACGGTTCCTATGATACCCACCTCGGTTGCCAGAAGTATGCTGGTGGCCAAGATTGGTATGGCCATGGCCATTTCCAGATTGGGTACCAGCATATTGTTGAGCCAGAAGAGCAGTCGGTGGAGTAGGAGGCGCAGTAGAATGTTGGGCTTCAAAGGAGAGTAAACGGGCACGAAGATCCTGAAACGAGGGTAAAGGAGGAAAATGCAAAGTAGCAGTGACTATCATCTCATACCCAGGACCAAGACCTCGAAGAATAGCCTGCACTAATTCATCATTGAGAACTGGTTGACCAATAGCTGCTAAAGAGTCGGCCAAAGATTTGGCATATAATAAGTATTCAGAAATGGTCCGATTATCCCTGGAGAGATACAAGAGGTTAGACCGAAGTTGGGAGGCATTGGCAACTGACTGTTGGGAAAAGTGAGCCTGCAAGGTCTCCCAAATGGTGCTAGATGAGGTCAGACCAACCACGAGTCCCAAAATTGGCTCCGACAAAGTGGCACGAAGAAGACTAATAAGCATTTGATCGGTGCGAAACCATGATTGATACTCAGGGTTTGATTTTGGAGGTTGACCCTCTGTGGATGGCAGAACCTGATCTGGTGGAGAGGAAGAGCCATCAATGTATTTCCAGAAGTCTTGACCGATCAAAAAGGGCTTCATCTGAGAAAGCCAAATCAAATAGTTTGAGTCCGTGAGTTTCACCGTCACCAAGTTGTTGATGTGGGGAACTGAAACGGACGAAGCAGCAGCCATGGTGGTGCTTGAATTGCTGGAGGAAGATGGCATATTGGGGTGGTGCAAGACTCGATCTGGATTTCACACAGAGAGGAAAGAGCACGATGCCTGTTGCAAGGGCAGCGACACACAAAGAGGGGCGGAGGGCAGAGGCACCTCAACGCGAAAGAAAACAAAATAATATAAAAAAAAATAATAATAAAATAGTAAAATAAGTGGAGGGCAGCGGCGCCTCAACACTTTGACAGCGGAAGGAAAAAGGTGGAGGTATGCTCTGATACCATGTAAAGTTTTGAGAACTCGATAATTGTATTGAATCTCAGAGAGGGTATTTAAAGGCTTTACAACAGTGTAAGAATGGAAAGAATAAATCTATGCCTACACTATAGCTTGTGACAGCAATCATAATATATGCAATTGATACAGGAAATATAAATTGATATGGAAAGTAATCAAGTCAACCGTTGACATTACAATTCTTTAACAAAACCGTTGCAACAATTCCATGAAAAAATCATCAGCAACGTCCTCCAACTCCTTCCTAATGGTACTTGACTCAACAAAACCTTCTGCAATCCACAGCCGGATCAATTTTTCCTTGTTGATTGCATAATCCTTTGGGAATACTGAACAATATGCAAAACATTGCTTGAGATGTGCTGGAAGATGATCGTAGCTCAGCTTCAAAACTGGTAAGACACAGTGTTCGAGTGAATCCCGTGCATCATTGTCCAGGATTGACAACCACTCGTGCACTTGTTTTTTGTAGGACAGTAAGCTGCCCAGGGTCTTAACAGCGAGAGGCAGTCCCCCACACTTGCGAACAATTTCCATACCGATCTTTTCCAAATCAACATTTTTATCCAAAGATCCAAATGCTAAACTTTTGAAAAAATCCCAACAGTCTGTGTCAGGTAAGGCTCTTAAGTAATACAGGCCAGCACCATCTGTCATGAAATTTGCAACTCTTGCATTGCGTGTAGTTAACATAACAGCAGATCCTGAATTACCTGCACTGAACCATCTCCTTAAGATCTCCCATTCGTGCAGATTTTCACACCACACATCATCAAGCACACACAAAAATCTCTTCCCCCGCAATTCCATAGTAACAGCTGTCTCTAATGCATCCATGTTGGAGAACTTCTGTGAGCTGTGAGTCGAAACATACAGGATCGCTTCAGCTATCCTCATGAGGTCAAAATCCTCACCCACGGTAACCCAAATCCTTAAATCAAAACTCATTTGTACTCTCTCTTCGTTGTACATGACTTGTGCAAGAGCTGTCTTTCCAATTCCTCCCATGCCTACAAGTGCGATCACACGAACTTCTTGTTGCTGATGCTCATGGTCGCCGTCCCATAATAGCATGTCTTGTATTTTCTCTTTGTCAACATCCCTTCCATAAACAGCAGATATTTCAGAGATGTAAGAAGAAGTTTGGACGTTCACATTGAGACCGGGGATCCTCTCTGTAGTTTGAGAAACAGTTGCAAGAAGGTGAAGTGCAGTCCCTCCTTTTAAGATTTCGTCGAATCTTGCTTGCAGATCCTTCATCCTGTGCTTGATTCTGTAGCGGTACACATCAGACATGAGGGAAAAGCAATTGGCTACCTTGGTCGTTGTGGTAGCCTTCTTCATGGCCAATAGCTCCCAATCATCAACCAGATCGTCGGCGTTGTAAGCCACTTCTTTCAGCTCCATTAGCCACAGATGGATTGACTGGTTGTTGCCAAGAGGTTGTTCTTCCACTTGGCTAGCTAGTGCTCCCAACGAACCTAATGCATCCCGCATCTTTTTAAAGATGACGTCATAGCCAAGAGCTTCAGCAAGAGAATCCAGCCGGTTAGACAGAACCTTGAGGAGAGGGGACACAACTGCATCCGCCATTGAAACAAAAAAGGGAAAGAAAAAAAACTCAAAACTCTCTTCAACAAGCTTTCACAGAGGGGATTCAGAAGAACTACACACTCACAAAGTCAAACAAAACCAAGGCTAGCTGGCCGGTTTCTTTGTTTTCATCCATACACATACATATATACACACGGATTTTCTATTTGTAGTGTTTCCCTATCACCAAAAGGCAGGATTCAAAGTTTTCTTCCAACTCCGTTGAGGGTAATACAAAGTTTTTGTAACACTAACCACGCAATGCCAAGACAGCCCACTTAAAACAAAAGGCCAAATGTATAAATTTATAATCTCATGTGCCAACAAATTCCAAAGTATAAACAAATATGAGAGATGCAGACAGACATAGAGACAGAGACAGTGAGGGAGAGAGACAGATAAACCTAGAGATTTTGGATATGTTGTGGCCGCTGTGATTATTCCTCCATTGGAATGGTAGTGAATAGTTCCCACAAGTTGAGCACTGTGTTATAGGGATTCTCCAGGCACATACAGCTGTCATGACACCCGCGAAGGGAAAGCGTGTAAAATCTCCAGAGAAATAATTGTGTTTAAATAAGGCTTTTTATCACAAAACGTCCATGATATTTACGAAACTATCATATTGCATTCTTAAAGTTTTGAAGTATTACTCATAGTCCTTAACATTAATATGGGTTCTCTTAAATAGTTCTTCTGTCAAAAAAACTGTTAAATTCAGGGATATAATCGTTAAATCAATCCAAAATTATAAAATTTATATATTTTATTTCCTTCCCTTCTCTCTTTCTTTCTTCTTCCACTTTCTCTCTTTATTTTCTTCTTCTTTCTCTCTGTTTAAGACAATGTAATGTCTTACACTTAAAACTAGGGGTGGCATTTTAAACCGAAAAACCGAAAAACCGCAAAAACCAACCGATAATTTACCGCAATGAAACCGCAATCGCGGTAAACCGAACCGCATTTGCGGTATTAAGAACCGAACCGCATTTGCGGTTGCGGT